AGCAACCCAATTACAAGTTGCTTCTTCCCTTGTCTATTCACAGCGGAGACAGTTCAGGGTTTAGAATTCCAGTGCATGCTTTTGGGTTTGGTGTGGATCATGATGCTTCATCAATGCATTCGATATCAGAGATTTCAGGACGGACCTTTTCTTTTGTTGAGACAGAAGATATAATACAGGATGCATTTGCTCAATGCATTGGTGGGCTCCTCAGTGTCGTAGTCAAGGATCTGCATGTAAGCATCGAGTGTCTTCAAATAGGAGTCCAGCTTGGCTCTGTGAAAGCTGGAAGCTATCCAAACCGTTTAATGTCTGATAGACGGATGGGATCAATTGATGTTGGAGATCTATATGCCGATGAAGAAAGGGACTTTCTGGTTTCAATCAATATCCCCGCCGAATCATTGAGCCCAGAAAATTCACTTTTGAAGGTTAAGTGTGTCTATGTGGATCCTTTGACGAAACAAACAGTTACCCTCAGAAGTGAAGAACTTAAAATAAAGAGACCTGAAAAGGTTGTACAAGAGCGTGTTTCAATCGAAGTAGACAGGCAGCAGAACAGACTCCGAGCAGCTGAAGCAATGGCTCAGGCGCGAGCAGCTGCTGAGAAAGGAGACCTGGTTGGTGCAAGTTCCATCCTAGAAAACTGCCGAAAGTTGTTGGCTGAGTCAGTGTCGGCTAAATCTCAAGACCGGCTCTGTATTGCACTTGATGCTGAGCTCAAGGAGATGCAGGAGAGAATGGCAAGCAGACATGTATATGAAGCATCAGGAAGNTTCAGGCTACATTACTTGGTAGCCCATCTGCTCAGAGATTTGTTCGACCGGTATGGTCATTAGCATCCCAGCCGAAACCTAGGTAACAGTAGTACATAACCAGGGAGGGTTTCTAATCATAAGAGGTTACAAATGTACTTCATTTGTCTTTTAGTATAATTAGTTTTGGAATGGAACTAGAGAAATTTTTTTGTATGTCAATATACTCCTGTCTATTCTTGTAAAGGAATAAACTTTGATCTAGGGGAAAATGGTAAGGGTAAAATGTAAATTATAGAAAAGTGGGGGGATGCACTAGTTAGGTTATTGCTTTTTTGTTGCTTTTCTTTAGAATTTTGTAGTTGTGGGTGATGTACATAAGGAAAGATTTGTCTCAAGGAAAAATGGGTATAAGTAATTTTGTGGGATATACCTTGTGAAATTTCATCTATATATAGGTGATCCTATACAAAAATTAGCCTGTTTTGCATGGCTTCTTGAATTGTTCCTTTTGTTTTTCTCTCTGTATGTAAATCAGTAGCTTTCAGGTGTCCGGAAAGATTCCTCTTATTGAGATGTGTACCAGCGGTTGTTGCCAAATGTTAAAATTAGAACCCCACGTGGATGGACAGATGTGTACCAGCGGTTGTTGCCAAATGTTAAAATTAGAACCCCACGTGGATGGACAGATGTGTACCAGCGGTTGTTGCCAAATGTTAAAATTAGAACCCCACGTGGATGGACAGATGTGTACCAGCGGTTGTTGCCAAATGTTAAAATTAGAACCCCACGTGGATGGACTGAATATCATTGAAATGATAGAAGTACCCTCAGATAAATTTTTAATTTCAGGAAGCACACATATTGACCTTGAGGCGCCTGTAGTCCCTCTTATAAATAAGTAGTAATTTCATATGCTTTTATACGTTATACCCTTAGCTGTTAGTATTGTACAGTTAGTTAGTGTTAGTTAAAGGCCATCTTAGCTGTCAGTTAGAGTTGCTTACCTGTCAGTTAGAGTTAGTTATTTTTGTCTTATACTCGTGTGTATATATGTACTGATACACAGCAATACAAAGATGAGAAGTTCATTTCTTTTATCTCTGAAATCAATCCTCTTCTCCTCTCTCAATCGAAACTTCTAGAGCTCTCCAATGGAGCTTAGCCAAGCTACAATTCATCCGCTTTTGGCGTAAATTGACATGGTATCAGAGCATGGAGACCTTCGATCCACTCGTACCGGTCGTCCCTCAGTCCAAAGGACTTCTCGATTCTGTTCAAAATCCTTTCAATACATACTGTGTAAGTGCCTAATTTCGCCCTCGATCTAGGTTTCTTTTGATTTTCGACTAGGTATTTCTTCAAAATAGACATGGTTGTTACCGATCAAAGCGATAGAACTGGTATTACTCCAAATGTAGAAGATGTTCCTAATTATGTAATTGATCCTAGTGATTCACTCTATTTACATCCTTCAGACAATCTTGGAGCTATGTTAGTCAGTATAGCCTTTAGTGGAATTGGATATAGGTCATGGCGACGCGCTGTTTTGCGTGGTTTATCTGTCAAAAATAAGACTGGATTTATCAGTGGAGAGAGCAAACGACCTGATCCTCAGTCACCTAAATTTCGACAATGGGAACATTGTGATGAATGGTGACATCTTGGATTCTTAATTCATTATCAAAGGAGATAGCAGATAGTGTAGAATATGCTAATTATGCAGTTGAACTGTGGAGAGAACTAGAAGATCGATATGAACAGACCAATGATGCGAGATTGTACCAAATTCCGAAGGAGATCAATGATCTACCCCAAGGTACTTTGGATATCACTAACTATTATACTCAACTGAAGAAGCTTTGGGAAGAACTGAGCACCTTCAGTGCAAAGACACAGTGCAGCTGTCAATGCATTTGTGGTGCCAAGGAGAATATGCACAAGGCGGAACATGACAAGAGATTGATTCAATTTCTTTTGGGATTTAATGAGGTCTATACAGCAGTAAGGGGTAGCATTCTCATGATGAATCCACTGCCTTCAATGGCACAAGCCTTGTCACTGCTCATTCAAGATGAAAAGCAATGAGAGATGAAACCTACAAATCATTTGGCTGCAGAATCTGTTTCCCTTCATGTCAACACTTCAGGATATGCCAACAATTTTGGAAACAATAACTTCAGAACCAATTATGCCCCCAATGCTAACATTCCAAACACTAACAGAACTAGACCATTATGTGATTACTGCAAACGGCTAGGTCATACTAAAGACAAATGCTTCAAGCTTCATGGTTATCCTCAGGTTCACAATCAAAACTTCAAGTATAACAAAAATAAAAGGGTAATAGCCAATGCACATGTAAGGTTGTATTGTGGTCCGGTCCCAATCCGGGACCTGCCCGGGACCGCGAGACCATGGGCTAAACGGGCTGGTCCAAACGGTCCGGTCCCAAGCGGTCCTAGGAGCCCACTGTGGGCCGGTCCTCCATGTTGAGACCGCGAGCCCGGGACCGGCTGGCAGGCCTGGGCTGGTTCAACCGGGCCCAACGACTATTTTTCAAAAAAAAAAATTAAAATTGGCCAATGGTTGGAAGTTTAAAAACTAGCCGTTGGCCTGCCAATTTAGCGGTTTGGCTTTTTAAAAAATAGTCATTTGGCCCCCAAACTTTTTATAATTACACTTTTTCCCTATTCTCAACTATAAATACCCCCTCATTCTTTTATTTTACTCACAAAATCATCAATCTCTCTCTAATTTTCTTCTATAACTCCTTACTTTATTACTGCAATTTGTGAAAAATTGTGAAGTTGGTGAATTGAAGTATTCAAGTCTTCAACGATATACAATTTTCAAGAAATTGTTCGTCAATTCGGTAAACTTGTTCCAACTCTTAAGTTTTAATATTATAGTTTTGTTTGTTTTAGTTTGTATAATTATAATTAATATGGACTTTTCTTTGAAAAAAATATTTGGTGGTAAGGTTAAGGGAAAATCTAAAATTGGTGAAACTAGTGGCCAATACCACTGCTCCCCCGACTCCCCGACGCAGACCTGTTACCCGTCCTCCTCCGCCTATTATTCTTGATAGTGATAACCCTTGTTTTCAATTTACCGATAGTCAATTTTGCCATGATATTGCACCAGGTTAACAATTGAATGATGATTATATGAATGCTCCTTATCCTAATCAAACTATCGATGAAAATGATGAGGAAAATGATGATTTAGATTAAACGCAACCGGATTTAGATGATACACCTACTAGTCATGTTGTTAACCCAACTGATAATAATCCAAATGATGCTCTGCCTAACCCTCCTGTAGTACCCCCTACTTTTAATAGACAACCTTCTAGACGGCCCAAAACATCTCTTGTTTGGCACTTTTTTACTCAACTAAGAGCTCAAAATAAGTCTAAATGTAAAACTTGTGGGTCTTTGATGGCTCATAAATATACTGGAGACCGTAGCAGTACGGGTACTTTGACTAGACACATAAAGACACACCCTAGAGATAAAGCTAGATATCTTTAAATGAAAGTTGTGCAAGAGGGGACAAGTGTTGGTACTGAGGTTAACCCTAGTACCAGGTCAAATCTAGTTCAACCTGAAATTAACATTGTTACCGGTGGAATTTTATATTACGATCCAAATAAAGATCGTAAAGAATTGGCAAAAATGGTTATTGTTATGTGCTTACCCTATAGTTTTCCTTCTAACCCTCACTTTGTGCATTATATTAGAAGAGTTTTTAATCCTACTTATAAAGGAAGGCCTCGCGCAACCGTAAAGAGCGATATTTATAAATATAAACATGAATATGAACAATATTTGCGCTATTTATTTACTCATATAAATTATCGCGTTGCTATTACTACTGATATTGGTAGAAGTGGTAATGACTATGATTATCTTACTGTTACCACTCATTGGATTGATGAGGAATGGAAAATGCAAAAGCGCATTATTGCTTATAGAATAATTAATTCACGTCACACAGGTAAGTTTATTGCTAACACAGTTGCAGATATTTGTAGATATTTTTGCATTAGAGATAAAATAATGTCAGTTTCAATGGATAATGCTTCTAGTAATACTAATGTTATAGGGTTGCTTACAACTACACTAAATCATGCATTTAGTAATATTTTCCATGTTAGATGTATTTGTCATATTTACCATTTAATCGCCAGTGATGGTATGAAAATATTAAATGTTGAAATTGAAAAGGTTAAAATGGCTCTTAATTGGCTTTTTTATTCAAACCGTAGAAGTAGACTTAGAGAATATTTTTAAAATGTGATGAATTTGGCCTTAGAGAAAGAAAGGTTCCTAAACCTTGTCCGACTAGATGGAATTACATGTATGAAAGTTTAGTTGTTGCATATGAATATAGAAACCCAATAAAAGCAATGTTTAATGCTCGTGTTGGTGGTGTTGATGATGATGATGATGAGCACCTTACAAATCAGGATTGGACTAATATTAAAATGTTTATAGACTTTTTAGAACAATTTCGATTGCTACAAATGAATTATCTGGGCAATATTATCCTACTATTTCTAACTGTTTAGTTTATATTGCAGCACTTGCGGATTTGTTTACTCAATTTTCAGAGGGTGGGGTAATTTATCAACTTGCTATTGATTCTATTAAAGATAAGTTTAAAAAATATTTTTTCCCTATCCCACTATTTTTGGTGTTGCTGCCATGTTAAATCCTACCATGAAATTAGGAGGTCCTTACTTTTAGTATATAAATATTTATAGGGCTTTATCACTTTCAGATGAGGAATATTCTACACTTGCAGATGCAAAAGCCTCAATTAAAATAAATGCTCAAACAATTTATAATGTTTATCAACTTGGCTTAGATCATGTTAGACCAAATGTTTCAACTCCTACTTCGTCTAGTTTGCAATCATCTAAAAGAACTATGAGTCTAAAAGCACTTAGTTCTTAGACGGAGTTCAGGGGTTCTCAAGGTGATAATATTGGTGATAGTTCACAACTAAATGAGCTTCAAGTTTATTTGTCGCAGGGACTTGAATCAGAGAATTCTGACTGCTCCTTTGATGTTTTGAAATGGTGGAAGGACAAAGAAAAACATTATCCGGTTCTTTCAAGGATGGCTCGAGATATTTTAAATATTCAAGTTTCAACAGTGGCATCGTAGAGCGCTTTCAGTCAAGTGAGACTTCAAATCAGTGATCATAGAGCGTCTATGAGGGAGAACTTGGAAAAATCAGTACTCTTCAGAGATTGAATCCGTTCGGAAAGAAGAAATTTTGGACTTGCTGAATCACAACCAGAGATGGACGAAGCTTATGATGAAATGATAGCAGAACTTGCGCAGGATGTTGCTTCGCCCAGAAGCGGTGATGAACAAGCTTCTTTTCCGCCACCACCAACGAAAATTCCTCCGGACCTTGAAGGATTTATGAAATTTGTTAGAGATAATACATAGAGTAATATGTAACTTGTATTTTGGCACATCTTCATTATTTTTTCTTCCTTTTAATGGTGGTATTAGCACCTTGTTGTGCTCATTCCATTAGGGGAAGGAAGACTAAGAAAGATATTGTCATTTTTTGTTAATGTCGTAATAATAAAAATTATAAGGCATTCCCTTGAATATTTCTTTGCAATTTATTTTATGTTTAAATTTGAATTAGAAGATTTAAGTCACAATTATATAATATATAATTTACAAGAAATTGCCTTAGATAAAAAAAATTCAAAAATCTTATATAAGGCAATATACTATATATGGCAATTTCTTGTAAATTATCTAAATTATATATATATATATA